AGAGACACGCTGTCTGCCCAGACTACGTCACAGGCGCTGGCATTGCTGAGCATGCCGGCAGTGCTGATTGTGCTGAAGGTGCTGATAGTATCAACTGTGCCAAAGACACTGAGTTGCCCCAACTGGAGCCAGGTATAACAATGAAAAGTCCGGTAAGAGGAGGCACAGAAATTCCCTTGCAGACAGGAATGCCTGAGGAGTCAACACGACTGAGACAGGTAAGTCTTCAAGTAGGATAGTTGGAGAACTGGCAATGCCAATAGGGTCTGAATCAGCTGTACTGACCATGTATCAAGTAAGGATGAAGACACTGCTCTCAATAGCCCCAAAGGAGCCAAAATTGACAGTGTCACCTCAAATCGTGCCAGTGAGTGCTTATGCTTGTGACGCCTCAAACCAGTACTGGAGTGCTTACTGGAAGCCTTCTTATGAGATGAAGAGTCAGAATGCTGGGAATGCTCTGAGGTGGCTGGGGGAAGAGGGCGAAGAGTGATGTTTTCCCATCGACTTCTGCTTGGGATCCCAGGTAGCAGTAGGAGCACTTCTTGTTGACTTGATTTCATTATTTTGTTGTTGGGGTCCAGTTAGGAAAAGGGGCACATCACCCTGCTTCATCAGGGCTTTGAGGCGGAAATCCCTCAGTCTCTTAGTCCTGGTAGGGAAGGAGTGCAAATACTGCAGGTGTCCCTCACCAAGCCAAATCAAAAAGCTTTTATGCCTGCCTGTCACAAGGAAAATAGCTCTGCATGTGGTACGCTGCCTGAATCCTGATGATTTTTCTTCATTCCAAATTACCAGTTTTTTCCTAAATTAGATCTAAGTAACTACACTAACTTATAGCTACACTAGAACTAACTATACATAACTATATACAATACAATTATTTAGAAAGCTGGCAAACCTAAGCTAAAGATATGGGGAGCTCCAACTTTCGCCACGGGTTGCGAGAAGAAACTGAGGGAGGCAGTGGATCAGCCCTTTTTATGCCCTTGGCTCGGTGCACAAGATGAGAGAGGGCACATGCAGCACCTAGTGATACTACTGGCTAAAGTCTCTGACTCGAGTGCACTGGGTGCACATACACCTGCAGTATAAGTGCACAATCACTCGAAAGAGAATATGTAAGTATGAACAAAAATAAATGTATAAAAATAACTATGTGAAACATATGAGCCATTGTTACCCTGATCTCTTATTTGCTGTAATTCTTTCCCACACCCTTTGTCTGTTCTCCCACCCTCCTCCTTTTCAAGACTAAGCTCTTCTAAGTGAGGACTACATTTTCTCATATCTATACTGTATCTAATGCAGTGTGGCCCTAGTCCTGAATGGGACTTCTGAGGGTTACTAGAATATAAATAATATTAACAACATTAGACCACTGTTGTATCTACAACTGAATGTACTTGGCAACTAGTGATTTTGGAAATTTTTTTTTAAACAGTGCTTTTAAATGTTGTCTTTGCTTGAGTACTTTTAATGTGCTCAGGCTAAACAATACACCCGCAATAGACGTTTTCATATATACCAGTAATAGAAGTTTACTGTCATTTACTGTGTGAAAGAGTTAAAAATCTTCTGTAAAATCTAGTTTCCTGGCTTTTAGAAAAGCCAAGTTAATGCATACTTCTTACCTTTCCTGGGTATTTATTTAACACAAAATATAAATTCCTTATAACACATTGTATTTTACAGTTTACCTACATCAGGCAACTGAAAGATCACTGGCCGCCATGAAATTTAGAACACTTAAAATCTTCATTTTGTCTTTATGGACCATTTTATTCAAATGACATGGCTGAAATCTGTAATCTGCTTGGCTGAAGAGGCTGTCTCTATCCATATCATCTCTCTACAGATTAGCAGTTTTCAAACTTTTTGAGCTGAGCCCCCTCTTTGAGTTACAATTTTTGATTGCACCCACCCCCCCGATACCTACCCCTCCCCTCTTGGGTTTTCAGGGTTGGGGAAGGCGCATACAATGGTCTCTGGGGGTAGAGCCAGCACTGGGCATGCATATGTTGACACTGACCTACAGGCCAGGTGGCCTACTGAGGTGAGTCATGGGTAGAGGTGGCACTTCATGCCCAACACACCCCCACCCACACAGGGCTGGCCTGAGCCCCCCTGAATATTTCTCCATGGCCCCCTATGGGGGCACACCCCACAGTCTGAAAACCTCTGCTATAGACACATTGAAATTATAAAGCCTCTTCAACAATCCAAGTGGCAACAGAGAGTTGGATTGTTTTTTAAAAAAATCTCAGAGTAGTCCTTTTGAATGAATTTTAATGCTTCAAGAGTTGTTGTATGCAGTGTTGTAGCCATGTCAGTCCCAGAATATTAGAAAGACAAGGTGGGTGAGGTAATATCTCTTATTGGGCCAACTTCTATTGGTGAGAGAGACAAACTTTCAAAAGCTCGTCTCTCTCACCAATAGAAGTTGGACCAATAAAAGATATTACCTCACCCACCTTGTCTCTCAAGAATAGTTGCTAATTTTGTAGTAAAGAATCAGGACAGAGTTGTATAAGCCATAAAGTTCTTCCAGATACACCTGTATAGTGCACTGAAAGTATTTTTGCTTCTCTACAATAATGTCCAAGGTAAGTTTCAGTATCTAGAACCAAAAGAAAAAAATAAAGTACTCCAATAGCCGTCAGCACTAGCTTCAATCAAGTATGTAAGAGATAAGTCAGAACCTTCCAGTCTCCACTGGAACCTGAGCAAACTGTGTGAGACTCTAAGCCCAGCAGCCTAGCCTCTCCATCTCCTACCACTACACGGGCAATAGGGATAAATATTTGTCCAACACCCAAATCCATGGAATGGAGAATGGTCTTGCTCTATCTTGCTTTAGTGAAACAAGCCTGCAACAAGCCCCAAAGTGGCACCCTATGTTGTATTGCAGGCTCTCAAGCTTCAGGTGCACCAGCTGCTGAAGATCATTCTAGTAGCCAAGAAAGGCTGTGAACATCTAACCCAGAAGTAGCTTCTCTCATTTCTGTATCACAAAAACCAAGGAACAGCTTTAGCTGCTGCCATCTCCAATCACAGATGGAGGGTTTAAATTCTTCATATTTTCCAAGGTTAAGAGAATCAGAGATTTGACAAGCCTTCATCCAGAGCCTGATAGAGCATTTGTCCAGGTAGGACTAGGAGTGCCTACTGAACAGCCAGCGAGACCTCTGACCACAAGGAGGGGCCATTTGACACCAAGAGAGGCAGGGTCATTCAGTACACAAAGCACTGTCTTAAGGAAAAGGGACTCCTGGATCTTAATTCACCTCTAACACTGATCAGTAGAGCCCTGTGCAGATATAAAAATTTGAATCCGCATCTGTGATAACTTGTATCCAACCCGTGATCTGCACTCCACTTTTTATATGTATCCGCACCTGCATCAGCACCCTAGCTCACTGTTAAAGCCCTGCATGGATACAAAAAATGGGATCTGCATCTAAGATGGTAAACAATACAACCACCTCTGCATCCGCAGATGCAGATATCCATGGATATAAAGCAGATATCTGCAGGGCTCTACTGACCAGTTAGGTAACATTTCTGCTTTATCTCTGTTTGATAGATGGGGAAATTAATAATACTTATCTACCTCAAAGGGGACTGTGGTGATTGAGTAGTTAATGTGTGCATATCGATGTACGTACTAAAATTCATCAGAATGTACACAAAATGCTCCAGTGGTTGGGGAGACATAGTGGTCCCCAGCCTTCTTGCTTATTTGTACTATTATATTTTGCAAACATTTCAAATACTGGGAAGTATATAGCTAGCCCCATAAACGCCAAGGACCTGCAGCTGCACTACACTTCTGCTGCAGGGCAATGGTCTGCAGATCACACAGTTTTTATGTAAAACCAGTCCATTAGATTTAGAGGGTATTCCAAAAAAAAAAAATCCACTCACTAGCCCTCCCCCAAAACGCTGGCCCTGTGCATACTGGTGTCAACACAGTGCACAGGAGTCAGTTAATTTGGGGGTGTCAGTGACAAATTATTTAGCAGGCGCTATCAAAAAATGCTAAGACAAGCTCTAGTAATAAAGGAACTGACAGCTGGAGGCACTAAAAGCTGCTGTACCTCCTCACCAAAGGCAGGCACATGCTGCCCGAGTGGGCAATAAACAACGTTAGAATTCTATAGAGAAATTAACAACCAGTTCTAAGGTAGCGGCAGCAAGACAAGAGTGGAAGTCTATAATATACAACTTGCCTTTGGAAAACTAAGAGTTTACCCGACTGTGCTGACAGACCCATAATCATGTAATTTTAATCATAGCTGTGTAAAAATAGGGACTTTGCCCAGCAGTTTGGTCACAGAATGTTCTTTCAAAAACAGGAGGTTCGTCGCCTAGGCCTGGATCCTCTAAACTGAAGCCTGTGAGGAAGTATGCATCCGAAGAAGTGGGCTGTAGTCCACGAAAGCTTATGCTCTAATAAATCTGTTAGTCTCTAAGGTGTCACAAGTACTCCTGTTCTTTTTGAGGATACAGACTAACACGGCTGCTACTCTGAAACCTGTGAGGAAGTACTCATTAATGGCCATGGCAAGAAATAGAATTCTATCTATACTCTTTGTCATAGATTTGTACTCAAAATTAGCTACGCTATGGACTTGTCTACATTACAAAGACTTGGCCAGCATAGCTATGCCAGCAGAGCCCCCTAGTACAGATGTGGAGTAAGCCACCACAAGTTCTTCTCCCAGCATAGTTGCACCATCTACACAAACATTAACTATCCTGACAGAAGCACTCCGCTGTCAGCACAGCAGGAGGGTTTTGTCAGGACAGCTATGTCAGCTAGGGGATGTGATTTTTTTTCACACTCCTAGTGGACATAACTATGCTGGCAAAACTTTGTAGTGTAGAATACGCCTATGTAAGCAGATGCTTTAGGTATCCTTTTAGATGGAGAAAGACTTCAATGAGGAAAAGATCAGAGATGAAGAAACAAAGGAAGGTCTATTATAAATAGGTACCTTGTGGTATTCCACTATTTTTGACTTGGGGTTCAACCACTTGAATTGTGTCATCTTCAAGATAGAAGTATATTTTACAATGTCTTATTCTATATAGCTCTTGATTTTTTTCAGGCACTTCTTCATCAAAATAGGCATCAAAAGACAATACCTACAAAAAAGCATAAATAAAGAAATATAAAGAAGCAAAGTCTTCATCCAGTGTGTTTGCAATACAAAAGATGTCAATAAAGGAAAGTTGTACAGATGCACAATTAATTATAAAAATAACAAATGTGTGGATTTCAGCAGGTAGATTTACTTTTCAGAAATATAAGAATAGGAATACAAATGAAATTGCATATTTTATATTCTTTTGGATGGCATTTTTTATCACCACATCTGAGTAGAGAAAGAAGACTCCAAGTTTAAAAAAAAAAAAAAAAAAATATTAAGCTATCAGCGGGCTACTGTCACAGAGAAGGCCAATATCAGCTTCCTATAACTGGGTGCTATTTAGGGCTATACAAAATAATCACTTCAAAACTTCCCTGAGATTCACACACTCACTGAAACACAACACCAGGTAAGGCTGCGCCTGGCCTCCCCAAACACAAATCTAGATCCTCCCTTACTATAACTTACAGCAGTAGTAATCCTAGAAAAAAAAATGTTTGTGGGTGCACTGCTCAGTAGTTTACTACAGCAGCTTTCACCTCTAGAGACCCTGACATCTTCCATATGGTTACATGTACTAATGAGTTTTGCTCTTGCATACTAATATTCATTTGTGCATATAGCAAACAGGGCCGACCAGAGGATTCAGGGGGCCTGGGGCAAAGCGGAGGAGCTGCAGCACTTGTACTCACCCGGCGGTGGTCCGGGTCTTCGGCGGCATTTCAGCGGCGGGGGGGCCCTTCAGTCGCTCCACGTCTTCGGCAGCACTGAAGGGCCTCCCGCCGCCGAAGACTGGACTGCCGCTGGGCCAGGCTCAGGGGGCCCCTGTGGGGCCCGGGGCTTGGGGCAAATTGCCCCACTTCTCCCCCCCCACCCCCCGGGCGGCCCTGATAGCAAAACTACTAAACAATTTGGCACCATTTATTGTCTTTATTCATGAGGTCAAGCTTGGGGAAAATTGTAAAAAATATTTGTATATAAACCAACAGGAAAGTAGGCATAGACAAACAGGCAAGAAAACACTAAGGAAAATTGCATACTTTTCCCTACCATGTCCGGCTCAAACCAGTGCTAATTAGTACCTCTTTCATAATCATTATATTTTCAAGATTTACATAATGAAAGAATGTATTTTTAATCTGGATTCCATAGATAAAATTGACCATGGAAGAAAGACTCTAGCTATCCATTCTTCATGCCATACAGGTACTGATGGGTGTCTGACAGAAGTAGGCTTGGAAATTTTTTAAAGATGTCAAAATTCTCTATGTAACATAACACATAGTTGCTAATACTTTGCCTTTCTTTAGCATTTCCATCAGAGACTCTCAAAGTACTTTTACAAATAGTAATTAAGTAGACTTCAGCACATCCCTGGGCAGGTATCAATATCCACCTTTACAGCTGGGGAAATTGAGGCAGAGAAGGGCCAAGTGCACTGTCTAAGATCACACAGGAAGTTCTGTGGCAGATCTCCTGGCTCCCAGTCCTGTTTCTTAATTGGGCTGTCCTTCCTGCTCTGCTGAAGAAGGATGTAACTACAAGAGTGGAGAATCTCTCTTTACAGAAAAGCAGGGCCGCCCAGAGGGGGGGCAAGTGGGGCAATTTGCCTCAGGCCCTGGGCACCGCAGAGGCCCCTACGAGAATATAGTATTCTATAGTATTGCAACTTTTTTTATAGAAGGGGCCCCCGAAATTGCTTTGCCCCAGGCCCCCTGAATCCTCTGGGCAGCCCTGCAGAAAAGGGGTTAAAATTTACCCAGAAGTAACAAAGACCTGGGCAGCTTTCAGCACTTGAACAGTATATGGCAATGCCCTTCTAACTTCCACCCTTCCCTTGCCCCAAAAAAACAAAAGAACTTAAGAACTTTAGTAACTTTGATTGCATGTTAACAAGTGAGTTAACACTTAAGCTTCAGTACAATAACATTAGGAGTTAAAATCACAACAAATCTGTAAGTTATCAGTTAAGATTGTCTATATAGTACAATATAGTCTCCAATCAACTTAGAGTTGATATAGTTAAAAAATAAGGCCAAAATTCTCACTCTTGGTGCCTAAGTTGGGCATTTACAGTTTTCTAAACATGGATTTAAGTGCCTAACCTTAGGCACCCAGATATGAAAATACTGGCTAAAATTTTTGGTGGTCAGCGAAGTCAACATAAACAATCTTAACTTTGCCCAACACCCCTCAACAATCAACCACTTCAGATGAAATTCCTTAAGTCTTAATAAAACTGATGTATTGTGCTTCAATGGACAAGGAGACCTGTTCCATTCCTGGCTCTGCTGCTGACTGGCTGTGTGCCCATAGACAACTTTCTTCAACGCTGTGCCTCAGTTTTCCCATACGGGGACACTAATGCTCACCCATTTGTAAAGCGCTTTCATGCAAATGCTATATAAACACCATTTGATTATTACTTACCATATATACTCGTTCATTAGCCTGTTCATTTATAAGCCAACCCCCCAAGATGGAAAGGTAAAAATAACAAGAACTATATGACCCTTTCATAAGCTGACCCTATATTTCAGGGGTTGGCAAAACTTTGGCTCCCGTCCCGTCAGGGTAAGCCGCTAGCGGGCCTGGACATTTTGTTTACCTAGACCGTTCACAGGCACAGAGCCCCTCAGCTCCCAGTGGCTGCGGTTTGCCGTTCCCAGCCAATGGGAGCTGTGGAAAGTGGCACCACTTCCCGCAGCTCCCATTGGCTGGGAACGGCAAACCGCGGCCACTGGAAGCTGAGGGGCTCTGTGCCTGCAGACGCTCCAAGTAAACAAAACATCCCGACCCGCCAGCGGCTTACCCTGACAGGCCGGGAGCCAAAGTTTGCCAACCCCTGCTATATTTTAAAAGCTGGCATCACAGGAAACACTCAAAAGTTTTGCTAGAATTATTTTAATGTAATCTAACAAAAAAACTGTTGTTGTTATAATAACTGAACAAATATGTATTCACCTTCAAAATTACAGTCAATATTTAAAATCAGTAAATGGATATTTAAAACAAGTAACTTAGAACAATATGAGACTTTAAAGAGTCTTTAAATCATTCAAAGTCCGAATCAGTCTCTCATTCACCAAACAGTTCATTAAACTCTGCTTCAGTCACAGCTGCACCTGCATTATCATCGTAGATGTCGGCAGTGTCGTCTTCAGACTCAGATTCCTTCTCATCATCAGCCTCTGTTGTGTCATCATCAAATATGGCATCATCTTCTGACCCATCGAATGCATTGCTGATACACCTTTTCCGAAATGATTTTTCTATCATTTCCGAAGGAATAGACACCCACGCGTCCTTGATCCACTGGGCGACCAGATTGATTTCGGGCTTCATAAGATTCCTACCTTTTGTCAACTTCGCCATGCCTGAGCACATCCATTCAGACCACATTTTGCGTAGCCTGTCTTTAAAGGGTTTGTTCAGGCAGACATCAAGCAGCTGTAGAACTGAAGTTAAGCCTCCAGGTATTACAGCCAAAATAGTTTTCATATTTTTGGTCACATTTTTCACCTCATCCGTTTTGTGTGTCCTGAACATGTCCCAAACAAGCATAGCAGGTTTCTTGAAAAGTGCTCCTGGTCTCTTATTCCACACTTTTTCCAGCCATTCAATAGTCCCACTTCCATCCATCCATCCCTTTTCGTGTGCACATACAATGACACCAGCAGGAAATTTCATGTTTTTAGGCAAGGTTTTTCTTTTAAAAATAACAACAGGAGGGAGCTTTGATCCATTTGCCAAACAGGATAAAACTACCATAAAATGTTTTTTTTTCCATGGCCAGTGGTTTTAATTAAAACTGTTTTTTCACCAACACTGGTTACCGTTCTGTTGCTCGAGAGATTGAATGTCATCGGTGTTTCGTCCATATTTCCTATTTGTGACAGTTCAAATGCATATTACTTTCGATATTTTATAAAAAACCTTTGGAAAGATTCGATTGTATCTTCCAGATCTCTCAGCAGCTTTTGCGCTATCTTTGTTCGCTGACGAAGACAGAGACCATGACGGTTCATGAAGTGAGTACACCAACCCGCTGATGCGACAAACATTGATGGCTTTATTGACTTGTATTTGTCGTCTTTCGACATTTGCAGAGCACGCAGACAAATTCCAGTTCTAATGACAATGTATCCATGTTGTCGACATTCAACAACCCAATTATTGAGATCTTTCTCCAGCTCAGGAAATGAAGTGCACCTCTCGGACATTTTTTCTTGGCATGTCTTTTAGTGTTGTTTTATTTTTTCGCCATTCTCTTACTTGCTTCTCATTGATACAGAATTCACGAGCAGCGGTGCAATTATTGTTTGCTTCTGCATATTGGACAACTTTAAGTTTGAACACTGCATGATAAGCAGACCTTTTTCTTTTGATTTCACCACTGTTCATTTTAAATACTAGTATGAAAATAGATTATTATTATTGTAGTTCTAGATTTTGTAGGACTTCATATAGGAATGTCACCTGCTTTATCACTGTCAAATTATTATTGTTCTTTATTTCAAAGCATCCCTGTAGATTGGCATGTCTGTGGGGATAACAGACTATTTCAATTTTATTACAGATTCCATCTATTCTGCACATTATATTTTCTTATTGGCTCAAGACTTATGAGGTCCATTGGTAGAAATGCATGAAGAGATCAAATTACACAGTAGCAGACTGACACCAGTGCTATAGTACTATCGTTCATTGTATTTCTCTGATTGTCTTGTAAGGCATAGCATTTTGTAAAATGCATGGGTCAAATGGGGACAAAATGCATGGGGAGGGATAGCTCAGTGGTTTGAGCTTTGGCCTGCTAAACCCAGGGTTGTGAGTTGAATCCCTGAGGGGGCCATTTAAGGAACTGGGGTAAAAATCTGTCTGGGGATTGATCCTGCTTTGAGCAGGGGGTTGGACTAGATGACCTTCCGAAGTCCCTTCCAACCCTGATATTCTATGATTCTATGAAATGTCATACAGATCTGCAGCACTGCT